TTCTAATACGGATCCGTGGGACATATCTGGAGGACTGTGGCTATAATGGATACAGTATTATATGTGTGTATGTGTTTGAAAGCCCGAGCGATTTCACTGTTACGCCATTAGCTCTATAAAAGCATCCTTGTGTCAGTCTCTTAGAGCACTCTCATCGCTCTCTGTCCTGCAGTTGCACTCTCTGTGGCTCTCCTGCTGTCCAGCTCCTCCTCTCTCCATCCTCCCCCTCAGCTCTGTCATAAGCCCCGGATGGGAGCTAACATGGGGAAAGCCCTGCTGCTCCACCCTGTGCACTGATGCCCCATTATGTCTCCCCTAATGGGAGACTGGCAGCAGGATTATGACCACGGTGGGGGACAAATATTCTCAACCCCCACATTCTGTTGGCACACGGGGGCCATCAGAAGGCTCATATGGGAAGAGGGAACTGTACCACTGACAACAGCAGGTCATGTCATGCCAAGGATTTAACAATAGGACAAATTAATCTTAACTCAAGGTCTACATACTGATTTATTCCAGAGCTTTTGACCACATCATCCAGTCTTCATTAGCAGATGGAAGGTTTTTCAGTTGTCACAGGAAAACATGGACAATAAGTCCTAAAAGTGCTGAGAACACATTTGAACATATACAGTTCCAAGACAACTAAATAAACCCCTTGTGCTAATGAAGACTAGGAAATCAACCAATATGTTTTTTTCAGAGCCGATACAGATGCCAATTATTTGTAGTCAAGGAAACCAATAATTGATATTTAAACCGTCCATAAAAATGTATTTGTGTGAAAATTTTGAATAAATGATGGAGTGTGACTAAGTACATTTATTCAAGGACTCTACTTAAGTACAGTTTTGAGGTACTTTACTTGAGTATTTCTCTTTCCCCGTCTGTGACACAGCAGCCTTCAGTATTGACAGGCTATTACTCATGGCGTTCAACCAATCACACAGTGCTGTGGGTGGGACATTGATCGAGACTACACAGTGGTGATTACAGACAGGTAGGGGCGGTACATCAGAGCCAAAGTAGTTAAAACATTTTTTAGTTCATTGAAGAAAGAAGACTTTATTACACTAACCAGCAGTCCTCTGTTACACTCATCTAAATACAGTCAGACTTCGCCCACTGTACATATTGCCATTCCCAGGAGGGAAACCTTCATAAATGTGACAATATCATTTCTATAAGAAAAGCACATGCATTCAGCCTGAGGCACTCAGAAGCCCTCACTCTGTAAATCAACATTTCTTTCTTGCCCATGCATGCATGTCCATCACATGAGGCCCCTGCTACACATTCAACAATAAACACAGAGAAGCAATCACAAAGTGGCTCAATACCATAAATAACACAAATAGTTCATAAAAAGTATTTTCTTATTGTATGTCTTATTATGTAGGTAAAGCAGTTTGTATGGATGAGCTGAAGACAGGCTTTTGTCAGCATCTCTTCAACCTCAGCCTGGACATTAATATTTAAGATCAAATGCAGCGTTGAGTTGTGATATATCTGCAAAGTGTTGCTGGAATAAATGCTGAAGGACAGGATATGGATCAGCCTGATCCATGATGGATCGATCCAATATACTTTTTAAAGTTTAGGTTATTATTTAAGATATTAAGTTAAATAAATCTCACAGGATAAGGGCACTGTGAAGACATGAACATACCTTTATTCACAGAGCAGTCTGTTTCTGATGAACAGGCTCGTCCTGCGTTAGTCTTTTATTGTTTAAATTTTCTCTAGGTATCGAGATAATATTGTTATTGTGAATTATTTTGGCCACAATAATCACGTAGTAAGAATCTGATATTGTGGCAGCCCTTAATGTACTAATTCACCTTCATTTTATTGTCTGTATTTTTGTTTTAATACTTATTTTTGTATTCAGTTTTTTTCTGTAATATAGCTGTGATGGCCTGACTGACCTGTACCAATCAATGATAATCTTTTTTTAAAGTACTATAATTATAATCTAAGCTATTCACATTCTCAAAAACAACACATACTATCAGTATTGTTAATATGGTTACATCAGATAACTAGGGCATTACAGTGACAGCTTATTAGCCGACTTGAATGATTTTCCAATCCATTTTGGGTCCTTTGACATTATAATAAGTTCAAGTCTTTTACAACACAGCAGGCAGTTGTAAGTTTGGCAAAATTAGATAATTTATTTGTGCGTTTGCACTGCAACGTTAATTAAAGTTCAGTTAAATTATAAAGTCACACACAAGACACAAACTAATGAGCGCATAAATTAAATAAATCACACGTGTCCCGTGTGCTTCCAGTAAATTGCAGTGAAATGAACACACTAATGTGCAATTCTAAGACCTAGTAGTGGAATAAATGGTTCAGTCGGACATGCAGAAAGAAACACAGTGAGTGAAACTGACGACAGATTGCATACCTTTTAACCTTCGACTCTGAGAGTTAAGACGCAGCCGGGGGAGAGGAGGTGAGAGCAAAAGGGGAGCACTTAAGAGTTATATCTGACCTTTACTAAATTTAAAGCTAAATGAGACTGCAGAAAGGATAAGCAATATTCAAAAAAGGTCAGCCACGGTGACAGGGGCCCAAGAACACGATTACATTTGCTTTGCTGACCTCGGGGTGTGAATGCTCGGAGACGCTGGACTGCGGTTTTTGACCTCTCCCACGAGATGTTTCAGGGAAGAGAAATGAGCCATTAACGGGAGAGGAAAGGTCTGATAGCACTACTGTACCGGAGCAGAGCCTTACAGTGATATTATTGCTTTTCCCAGTGAGGGAGCAGAATCATTGCCATTTCAATTCCTACAACATTATTTTGTCTGCCAGTCAAACACATAAGTCCTATAACTGTCAGATGATAAAATATTCAAAAACTAGCCCCGGCAGGCGTCTCCTGAGTTGTTACACTGATCATTTCTAATAAGCAATATATGAAATAGCTGCAGTGTATATGGGGAAAGTCATATAACACTCATTGTAATGGATTACTGCTCTGAGGGAGTATATTATTACTCTGAAATGAGCTAGTGCTGTAATACCTTTTTTTGAACGGAATGCCCCTGTGTATATCGCATGACTAAAAATTCCAGTATTCAGTTTTCAATGAAATCTTTTATCACCACTCGCTGTCCAAGTAGACTGAGTACAAAGAGAATATGTTCCATCAACATTTCCCCGTGCATCATTAAAGTGGGCTTCATTTGCAGTGAAAAAGCCTTCCTTACTTTTTTATGTCCCTGCTACTGAATCCTGCCGGCTGCAGAACAAGGTAACTAGGGTTGGGAATTCTCTGCACGGCCACGGGAGGATCATGAATAGTGTTTAACTGCTCCACCTGTTGTATGGTGGTTAGTAAAGCAAGTGTGCCGTGGAGAACTGCTAGAAGAGATAGCCGAGATATAAACGGAGCAGCAAACCGCCAAGTGGTTGGTGCCAGAGGGAAGGACAAACAGGCACTTATTTATGTATGCCTGGACTTGCAGGCAGAGCCTCAGTGTTTGCACTGGGAAACAGATGCCTGTATTTTGCTGCGTACACAATACCATACTACCTCACTGTTACATAGCAGCTATGCTTTTATTCCCAAAGGCCCTTTCCCTAACCTCAGTATTCACCACAATGTGCCTTTCACCCTAAGGACTAATTTGAAATTTTAAAATTAACTTTGAAAACGCTCATGTTAAAATATATTTTATCACGCTTCAAACTATTTATTTCAAAGTCAGTTTTAACTTGCCCTGATACAAGTAGTTTTATTTAGTGGCTTTCAGATAACAACAAAGACCCTTTTGGCTGCCCTGCAAGCAAGATGCTGTAGGCTCTTGTTATGGCACTCGTGTACAATGCATAGTTGGAGTTCTGCCCTCTTTCTCTAACACCACCCAACTGAACTCCTGTTTCCAGGATAACTGAAATGCTGACTTGCACTTCAGCTCATAAACTTTGTGCCGCAATTTTCTTTTGAGAGCACTGAGCATGTGCATGCAAGCATGACCTTAGACTAGTCCCGGGCAAACAGGCAATCCTTATTGTGATAAAGATACCAGTATCGGGTATTGAGTCTGATACTGATACCTCACCCGGTACCACTTTACAGTAGTGTGATGTTATCTAACATCTCGTTAGTTGGGCAGGTCGGCAGAAGAGAAGCAATATTTTAGGGAACTTTTGCAACATTAGCAACTTTTAAAATGTTACAGTCAGAAAGTGAGCAACATCTGATGAAAATAAATACAAATGAAGAACTGTTAGAACTCTAATAGTATCATTCAGTACTCTTATAGCTACTTGGTTTTGGCAAGTGCCCTAATGTATGTAACGTAAAAAGTGGTATCTGTGTGCATCCCTAGGTGAAAAATTGGTTTAAGTTTCAATTCACTGATATGGTAGACCTTACGTTGAGACATTAAGAATATTGTCTCAATCTACAAAAGTCAACCCAAACCTTTACTTATCTCATGATCTCTTATACAAGAAATCCCATACCCCGCCGTTAACCTTAAAGTAAACCTTGACGCTTCCAGAAGTGAATACCAGCAAAATGTCCTCTGTTTGAATGCTCCTAATTGTTCCAGCCGTACGCAGACATTTGCTCCTTGTAAGCATAGACACCATTGCACACAGACACACTCATACACACAGCCACCTGCAGGCTTTATCAAAAAGCACCTGGGCTCAGCAGAAAAACACAATCTCCGGAAAATAATTGGCCTGACATGCAGATACACAACAAGATGGAAAAGGTGGAAGGAACAGCAAGCTGCCGTCAATCAATCAGTGAGAAAGCGTCATCTGCGTGGGAAGGGCGAAGAGGTCTTGTCAGAATGAAAAAGTAAAACTATTGCCATTGGCAAGGTGGCCCGATGTTATCTTAAATATGTAATAAGGTCTGACTTCAGGATCAAGCACACAGTGTGGTTACAGTGTATGCAGGAAAAATCAGTATTCTGTGGGAAACTTCCATGCATCAAAGTGCTGCGTAGTGTTTTGAGGCTTACCTGGAACAAAGCTCCCCTGCACCACCTCCTTGTACGCCCACCATCCTTCGTGAATTTTCGGCGGGTTCGGCTGTGCTGTTAGATAAGGAGAAGAAACACAGGAACAAGGGACATCAATCACTTCGATCTGAAATTCAGACAAGAAAGCAAAAACACGGTTGTGCCGTGTTCAGACGCTCTCCAGCTGAAACACTGCGTTTTTTCTTTTTCTTTACCGGCCTCATCATTTCCAGACACCCTGCTAACCTTCTCAGCAAGAGGCCTCGGCAAATAGACTCCCTGGAGATGGCTTCGGAGCAAAGGCCTCTGATTCAACCTCTTCTTTCGGTCCAACTACACACACGTGGTACAAACACACACACTTGCATACTCCCCTGTGATGCAATGACTCTCTAGACTTAAGTATGGAAATGCATTCTGTCATGTTGTGTGAGCTGTGAAAGAAATCCCCAGATTAAAGCAAGGTGCTACAGTATAATTGAGGTTACTAAGTAAAGGTCTCAGTACAGGGAAAGAGTTGTGACCGAGAATTACCCACCGAGCCTTCAGGATATTGCTTTTTACACCTCAACTTTTTTCCTCCTTTCCTGTTCATTCACCAAACGCGCAAAGCAGGGCTTAATCGAGGGTCTGGAGGTTGACCCGCTTGCTTGTTTTTAATGAAAGTTGAGTTGGCCGAACAACCCTCCTCCCTCCGCTATCCCCTCCACACAGCCTTGCTGCAGCAGAGTTCAATTTCAGAGAGGTGGCCCGGCTGGACATGGTCCAGAAAAGGCTATTTTCTCAGAGGGCAATCTCTGCTGCCACAAGCTGAATTTGGGGGGGGACAACAGTTGCATCCTGTTTGTCAACTTGTTTCTCAAAATGATTCATCGTTTCTCCACTTTTACACGATAAATGAACTTGAAGCAAACACCACCTTTGATTGGAGTGCACCTAAATCAGTGCAACAGACAACCAAGTGGCAGCATTGAGTCAGACTTTCCAAACCATTAGAGGGAAGCTGGCTCCCTGCCCAGCACTGCTGGACCCTGAAAAAACTCCCACAAACTGTAGCACAACATCATTTATAAAGTTTGTATATAGTCAATTTTACACAAAATGAAATCCTAAAAACACAAAATCAGAATCACTCTGCTGTTTCTAACAATTGTTTTCCCTCTTTTGAAGGTTTTTTTTCTTCACTTCAGACACCATGGTATTGTAAATTTCACTGTGATGCTTTGGTGGAGTTAGTCTTGGAGAGAGACTCTGTCAGAGATGTTTGGACCCTTGGTAGGATTATTAGTGGAGCTGTTTCTCAATATTAAAAACACTTTTCCTGGGTGCTTGGTTAGCTCAGTCGGTAGAGCTGGTGACCCATATACGCAGTGGCCCGGGTTCGAGTCCGACCTGTGGTCCTTTGCTGCATGTCGTCCCCTCTCTCTCCCCCTCCTTTCCTGTCTCTCTCCAGCTANNAAAGGCCCAAAAAATAATACTTTAAAAACACTTTTCCCATTACCCTCTTTGCTACCTGTGCAGACAAAATGTTTCTTTATTTTACATCTGTGTTCGGAAAGCAGTACCTTTTTCTTGGGCCACAAAGAAATCTTTCTCCGCCCTGTAAAGCCCAAGAGTGGATTCTGAACTAAACCCAGCCTGGAGGTATACACTGTGAAATGCAGTGTTATGGCTAAAGTCGCACACAGCAAAAATTTCAACCAGAATGGATTCGCTGCAACCGGTGAATTCAGGAAGAAGCAAAGAGTTTGACTTTGGTGAGCTCTGACACGTGAATTCCAGCAACTGACCAATAGCAAATCATCTTGTAGTGCTGACAATAAAGGGAACAGTGCCCAACAGTGTTAGGCACGTTGTTTGAAAAGTGTGATCAATTATTCATTACCTATTACTAGTTTACAAAGCTCAACAGTGAAATTAATTTGGTACATTACTAAATTACCTTCTGTCACTCACAAGCTCCTTTAAAAGGTGCCTTTCAACAACTCCAAAGCTGACACGTCCACACCTAACATCTTCTGTATCGTACAATGAAAAATGAGACCGCTTTAATGAGCAGCCAGTCTACGGTTATAAGCTAACAGCTAGCTTTTGTGCTAAACTAACATGTCACCAGACTAGCCTTTCCACTGAATGTGTAGTAAAGTTCATTATTCTACTTGCTATTAGAGTGTTAATTTCACGTTCATTTCACTTATTTACTCCCTCCTTTATTTTACTATTCTGTAATGCATTATATTGGTTTTCCCATGGGAAGTGGTCTGTAATGTGCAGCCTTGGCAGACAGTGATAAACTCTGTGGTGGAGCTTGCAGGTAGCTAAATTACCTAGTTCTTTCTTTATTATTAGCATGGGATTACGTATGAATAGCAATAGCAAATAGCATTTTTATAAACATTTTGGATGTCATGTCTACGCATTTGAAACTCTTTGTCTTTGGCATTTAACAATGTCAGAGATGGCAAGATTGAGATTTGGACGTGCAGGAAAAGATGTGAAATCAGTTGACCTTCATTGTCTTACCAACAATAATAAATATGTGGCTAATGATGTGACACAGTGGAAGTTTAGGTACAAAAAAACTAGGTAGATTAAAACATATTTACATTAAATGTATTTTATTTTTCAGTCTCCTGGGAGAAAGTCCTGTTGTCTTTGACCAGTCCACCCACCCTAACTTCTCTTCACACTATGTCACCCGCCTTTTTTTTATGACATTCGCACCTAAAAATGACACGGCGTCTCTACACAATATAATTCAGTAGAGACATAAATGTTTTATTCATACGCCATTCGGTGATACCAGCCTGATTTTTTTTTGTATTTTTTGTTAAAGCTGGCTGTGGGAGACCTAATATGATTCTGTTATTTCCAAGTCATTGTTTACTTGAAAAATGTGTTGCCAGTCTCCTGTATCCTGTCCCAGTTTATTTTTTGGAGCTTGTTTCCACCAGAGCTGGTTGTATGTGGGAGACCTATTAACATTCTGTTGTTAGCAGACCCCAGTTGGTAGAGAAATAAACAGCTGGAGGCAGCAGTGCAGATTTGATCTTCATTCATTACACAATTAAAGAAGAAAGTACACAAGTGTAAATATGCACAGAGTTGAAATTAATATCACTTTACAGTCCAACTCCCTACCCCCCAAAATGTTGAAGCAACAGGGAATTACAGTTTTGTAACTGATTTGTAATTACTGGATTCAAATAGTCATCTTTTACACTACTTGTTATCTAAAAAGTAGTCATATTACTGCAAAGGGTTACTTAGTAATGCAATGCTGCAGAATTAAAAGCAATGCTTTTCATATCAGTTTTGTCATGAACAAAACTAACTATAATTCTAGCCACTGTCACTAAGCTTCAAACACCACTAATTTCATACAGGATGCACAGATTAAATGAGCTGTGTCCCTGTTTTCTACAACTTCACACCTAAGGCTGGTGCCCCTGTTCTCTTTTTTATGGTTTGCTCTAACTTAACACAGTATGACAACATAGATAATTCACTACGCTGTACAGTACATTTACATATAGCTAATCTCACTGCTGAATAGATAATGTAGTGTGATGATGGTGAACCACTTTATCAACTGCAGAGCATTTTCATCATGTTTTATGAGATAAAAGTGCAGCAGTAAGAAATATAATGAGCGGTCAGACAGAACAATAGTATACAGTGTTTGTGTGTGTGTAGGGGCGGTAGTGTGTGTAAGTGAGAGCCCTTGGGATTCTAGCTATTGTAAGTAATAATATAAAGGAGATTTGGAGGCCTGTGGACATGATCCTCTTACAAGCTACCAACAAGAATACAGATACAGTCCTCTCTTATTTTGCACATGTGCGCTGCAATAACAGGCTGTAACAATACAGCTGCTGTCCCTGCAAAAAAAAGAGAGAATAAAACACCCTTTTTGGATTGATGTGCCCACTTTCCCTGTTATTTCAGTCTAATTAGAGTGAATGTGAAACAATTTTATCACCATCAGTTTTAGACAAATTGCTGCTGAGATACTACAATGATAAATTCTGTGAGGTAAATTGAACCTTTCATGATCCCTGTGGGAAAACTGAGCTGCTGCAGCCGCCAAACGGCAGCACTAATTACAGCAAAATATATTATGAGGAATATGAAATTGAAAAACGTGAAAATATATGAATTACCCAATTATGCAAGATGTGGCAAATGAGAAAGAAAACGCATGCAATATAGAGTATGACTAATGAACAAAGTCTTTTTGATACTATTTTCATTTTTTTAATCAAGATGTAGGGCTAAGTATACTGAGTCTGGAATGTACCATGTAATGACTTTTTCAATGTGTAATAAACAATTAAGTTCATTTAATAATATAATTTTTTTTAAACATTAAGAATTAATCATATACATTATTGAATAATATATAAATTTCTGTATTTTACCTTTTTACTAATAGTTTATTATTTTTGATTTGTGGTTATTGTATAAGCTTGAGGCTTCTTGACCTTTACATTTGGAGAAAAGCTGCATATGACTGTGATATAAGTTCAATTAACTGAATGGAACTGGTAAAACTAATAATAAAAATATAATAATTAAACAAATAATATACTTGAGTTACTCAAATTGTGTTGTAATGAACTTAAATGGTTTGAGGCAATCAGTTTTCTCAAATTGTTGCAGTGGGACTCGTTGGGTTCCAAGTCTTTATGTTTTAGTGCAAAGTATTTGAATTCCACATATTGTGCTATAAATATGCATAACGACTACCCTCTAAGTGGTTGAAACCGGCTATTTCAGTTGAATTTTGCTTTTGGCTGATCTGGAGGCAGAGGATGTATATGATGTCAGCGTTCATCCCCAGCCAACCCCCCCTCACCACTTACTGCTATAAAAGCAATGTCTCGACTGCTGACACTCTACCACAGACAGTTTAGTTAATGTTACGTACCACACAGAAACTTTTACAAACTGCAGTGAATGTGCTTCTAGTGACTGTCAAAGCTCCAGAGGATTCTCTGTGTTTTTAGTGTGGACATGGGAGGCCTGACATCGGATAGATACATTTGAATATGGATCACAACATTAATTTTGAA